ATTAACTACCACTGATTAACACTATGTGACAAAGGCTTACATACATGATTTCATTTGCTTTTCACAATAAGCCTTCATGACAGCATACACTGGCTCTAGGGCCAAATTGTCTGGATTTGAATTCTGGTTCTCCCAACTTACTGGCTGAAAAATCTTGGATAACCATTTAACCCTTGTCTGACTCAGTTCTCTCCACTATAAAATGGAGACAATAACAGTAGCCCTGTTCATGGGGTTCCTGTGAAGATTAATGCATTGAAAGTGTAAAGCCCTTAGAACAGTGCCTTGCACATAATAAGTTTTCATTATTATCAGCAGAGGCGCATTAACATATTAGGCTGTTGGATGTCAGATGGGTAAGAGACTTTCCTAATGTCACACAGCTAGCAATTGGTAGAACTGACTGACAGAAAGTATGTGTATTCAAATTAAAACACCTGCTCTTCCCACTATGGCAGGCTGTGAGTGAATTATGAACTTATAAGAGACTGAAACCACAGTTTCCTAGGGGAATTGGGTATACTTATATCATATTGTGGTTAAAAGCAGGGGGAAGGACTCAGGTCTGAGTTGTAGGTTTTAGAAGTGACTAGCATGGTAATTTAGAGTCAGGTTCTAAAGTCAGTATTCTTTGGTTTCAGTATCAGTTCTAAGTTGTGTGACCTTGAGCAGGTTAATTCAACCCTCCAAGTCTCAACTTTATAATTAGTAAAATGGGGGATAATATTATTTTCCATTAGATCAGTTCAGAGTAACAATATGGCTTAAGTAATAATAAAGATACTTATTACCTCACTTATCAGGAAGTCTAGAAATGGTTCAAAAGGTTAACAACAGTCTCATGAAGGACCAAGGATCTTTTCATATTTCTACTTGGCCATCCTCTTTATGCAGTAATATACTGCAAGAGAAAGGGTTAGGGGAGAGAAATGTTTCCCTAACGCCCTACATTAAAAAAAATTTTTTTTAACATTTATTTATTTTTGAGACAGAGAGAGACAGAGCATGAATGGGGGAGGGTCAGAGAGAGAAGGAGACACAGAATCTGAAACAGGATCCAGGCTCTGAGCTGTCAGCACAGAGCCTGACGCAGGGTTCAAACTCGCGGACTGCGAGATCATGACCTGAGCTGAAGGCAGACGCTCAACCAACTGAGCCACCCAGGCACCCCTACATTTTTAATCCATCGGGAAGATTTGGGTCTCTCAACAACCTCCTAAATCAACCAAGGACAAAGGAGAATAGGATTCTATAACTGGTGTCGACCAATAGACCAGTAATAGTTCATTCCCTGGGAAGAGGGAGGAGCTACCTTCCCTAAGCATCTGAACCAAATCAAGGTTTGCTTACAAGAAAAAGCGGGTGGGAGGGTGCTGTTGAACAGTAAGTGTATGTTATTGAGTGTCTGGGAAGTGTTTAGCTTAGCGCTCTGGCCTATACTGAGTACTCAGAAAAGGTTAGTTTTGCCAACTCCCTGAGGCTGATATTTTGAAGGGCAATTCTGTGTTCTCACAAAAAACAGAACTTTCTATTGTTTTAAAAGTAGAACAGAACACTGAACTTGATGGATCATAGGCCTGGCTCACACGATGTTGGATGTCCTTACAGGTCCCTTTGCATGGCAAAAATTCCCACACTTTAAAAGTATTTCTGCCTTGTATCCTTACCCAGGGGTGTGGAAAATGAGGAGGTTGAACTAACCTGCCTCAAGCCTCATTCTATCTGTTGAAAGGATTTATCCCATAGCCCTCCCGGATCAAATGGCATCCTCTTGATGGCAGAGGAAGCTCTGGGAGCCTATGTCTGTCTTGAAGACAAACGCTGTTCAGAATTCTACAGCTTTATTCTCCTTCTTATAGTCACATTCACATCAACAGCTGGGAAGGAACAAGAATACCAGATGAATGACTCCACCATCTATTGCTACCATAATGGTATGTAAAGAATGACTCTCTGGCTCAGTAACATTCAACAATGAGCATCTATTATCATGGTCATAAGTCTTCAGGTTGGCTGGATTCTGGCAAATAGGATGGGTTCTATTGGATCTTCCTCCAAGCTGGAGATTAGGCCTTGGTCTGCCCTTTATGGCTCCCTGAGTTGTTAATCTCGTGGCAATGACAAGAGACCCAACAGGGCAAACCCAAGCTCACAAGCATATTTCAAGCCTTTGCTCATATCACCTCTCCTAACATCCCACTGGCCAAGGCAAGTCTTACAGTCTAACATCAGTGGGGTGGACAAATCACAGGCATCTAGTTGAAAATAGCAAGGTCACATGGCAAAATGTGTGGAAACACAAAGGGGCAAGGGAAAGAGAAGGATGAAGGCACCACAAAGAAGTTCAATCTACCTTCTCATTTGACTAGAACCCACCTCTAATCTTCCAAATTCCTCTTCATGGGTGGGGGGCACATGTCTCGTCTCATCTGTCTTGCCCTCCTAAGCCACTCTGGTGGGTAAAACCTATTTGGCCAATAATACTTCCAGTAGATAATGGAGAGATTGCAAGGGGAAAGAAAAGAAAGAAAAGAAAAAGTAAAGACAGAATAGGAAAGAGAAAAGAACCACTCTGATGGGATCCATTGTAAGGACAATTGAGAAGGCCAGGGACCCTGGAAGCAGAGTCTTGTTGCAATCCTGTGAGAATGCGATTGGTGCCTTCTGCAATGTTACTGGCAAGCAGGGCTTCTGGATTAGAAGGTCTATGAAAAGGATGCTCAGGTTTTAGTTTAGGGACATGTGACCAGATGAAACAAATCAGTGTTTATAGAGTGGCTTCCAAGGACAAAGCAAACCTTCCTCCCACTCCCCCTACAGAGAGCAGGAGTCAGGTGTCATGTTCACCAGGTTATCCATGGTGATTATTATAGTGCCTAATATATAGCTGGTGATCAATACATAATTTTTTGAATGCACTGAAGTATTTAAGAAGCAAATTTCCCCACTGCATTTTTGGTAATGTTTTGATTTAGTTTATAAACACTGGGCCTGGGAAAGCCCTAGGAGTCAAGGACAAATGCTTAAGAGAAAAGAAGGTTCTTCTCATTCTTTTTTGTTCATATTCTGTTTCTTCTTTTAAGGAATCAATTTCATTGAGATAAAATTTATGTACTATAAAATATACTCATTTTAGTTCTGTGAGTTTTGACAAGTGTGTACCTGCATAATATAGAAGATTTCCAACACCTCCAAAGGTCCCCTTCCCTGTCAATCCCTGCTTATTCCTGACCCCAAGCAACTGATGACCTGTTTTCTATCAATATAGGCTAGTTTGCCTATTCCAGAATTCCTCAAACAGAATCCTGCAGCATAACATCTAGTTTCTGTCAGTAGGTTTTAAAGCTTGTATCATTCATCCTTGTGGTGCATTCTCATTCCCTTTTATTTTCTGAATAGTATTCCATCATTTGGGCATACCATCATTAATTTACCTATTAACCTGTTGATTGACATATGCAGTTTCCAGTATGGGCTATTATGAAGAAAGCCATGCACATTGTTCACACAAGTCTATGTGAATTTATTTTCATTTCTCTTGGGAAAGTCCCGAGTTTTATGATAAGTTAATGTTTAACTTTTTATAGGAAACTGCTCCAAAATGGCTTTACCATTTTATACTCTCTCCAGCAATGGATAAGCGTTCCAGTTGCTCTATATCAAACAATGGTATTATCAATCTTAATTTTTACCCATTCTGGTGGGTCTCTCTCTCTCTCTTTTAATAAATGAGAAATGTTTGTTGAATGAGCGAGGGCAAACATTATTAGACCTATGTCACTAAATGAGCAAGTTAGGAGTCTACTATCCATAAGATACCTCTTTTTCTATGGTCTCTCCTCTCTCTCCCTGTGTCTCTGTGTCTGACACACACACACACACACACA